GCTGAGCTTGTTGCTGAGCCTGCTGTTGCTGAGCCTGCTGCTGAGCCTGTTGCTGCTGGGCTTGCTGCTGTTGCATTGCCATCTGGGCCTGTTGGAGGTTTTGCATGTGCTGAGGGTTCATCTGCACCGGCTGGCCGGGCTGTTGTTGGCCCTGTTGCATCTGTTGATTCTGTTGAGCGACGGCTTGCTGCTGGAGAGCGATCTGCTGAGCGAGCATCGCCTGTGCCTGGGGGTTGTGTTGCTGCTATATCCTATCGTAAGTAATGTGAATAGCAAGTTGGATATGCGATACTTACCGGCCGCATGCCCTGCCTCATAGCCGCGATCTGAGCTGCGTTCATCGGGTTCATTGGCATTCCCATCGGCATACCATTGACGCCCGCCATATTCGCGTTGAAGGCCTGCTGGGCCATGAGCGCTTGTCGCGCCTGTTGCTGCTGCTGGAACAAGCGCTGCTGTGCCATCTGGGTGGCGTGCGCCATCGCCGCTGGAGTTTGGACTACGCGACTCGGTCAGTAAGGAAGCAAATAGACAAGACACCGAGGCGAGGCGCGTGGGCCCAACATACAGTTACCAAACTGATTTTGCTGGAACATTTGGTTTTGGGCAGGATTGAGATGCTGCAGAGCGTGAGCGTTCGGACCTCCAGCACCCGGCGGCATGCCGCCCATCAACTGATTTGGATTAACCTGACCACCAGGCCCTGATACTGCCATGTGCATCTGGTGAGGCATTCCTCCGCCCGGGCCTTGCTGCCCTGGGTTGTGAGGCATACCCTGGGCCATGGGGTGCCCGGGTACACCTGGATGCTGTTGCATGCCGGCAGGATGGCCTGCAAAAGACGGTCCCATACTCGTCATCATGTCTCCGGCGTGTCGATGATCCACAGCGTGGATATCGACGTGTCTATCCTCCGTACTATCTCATGCGCCAACGTCCAAAGGTGGTCTATCTCGACGACAAATCGGTAATCGGGGCCGCAAAGGTACGAAGGATTGGGGCGGCTGGAGTTGCGGAGATGGGCGCGACGCGGCAGCGATGGAGTCGTGATTTGCAAGACGCGGGAAGTGGTGTCAATCGCGTGGTGCGGGTGCGGGTGCGGGCGGGCTCGACTAGCGTTATCGATTGCGATAGGAGTCGTTTAATGCGAACGGTCGGGTCAACAGGTGAAGAGGGACCGAGAAGGCATCGATGATCGGCGTGACGACAACGGTGGGTGGGCGATATTGTGGTAAGGAGGTCGGGATGCGACGACAAACAACGAAAGAAGTGGAAGTGAGATGTAAGGGGAGGTGAGATGGCGGGTGGGTATGTGCCCTGCGACCAAAGGAGAGCCCGACTGAGTGACGGGGTAGAAAGTTGGCGTCGGCAAAGACGTGGGCGACTAGAGAAGGGAAAATGCGTTGGTTGTCTAAGGTAATCTCGAAAGGATGGATACGACGGACGCAAAGACGTGTCGACGTTTCGCGCGATAGCGAAAGCGAGCGGAAACAGATGTGGGAATCTCGTGAGAGTGGACGACGAATGCTTCAATCGACCGGTGTCGATGACATTCGGAGAGCGGGTTGGTTCGAGATGCCCAATTTTTTATTGCACAAGTCGAGCGCAACGAACAAGCCTTTTCCGCGCCGCCTTGCCTTGCCAGGAAAGCGGGAAGGAGAGAGGGAGAGAAAGATTTGGGGGGGGTTTTTTGGAGGTGGGTGAGTGGTACGGTGCGGTGCTGGCAGGCTGGCTGAAGAAGAACGGACGCAGAGACGACGCAACCAAAGGGAACTGGGCTGGGAGAGAGAGTCTCTGGCTGGGCGTGCTGAGCTCTGGCTCTTTTGCAAGCGGGCAGCGGAAACCCAAGTGATTTGCTTTGGAGGTTGGCTGTTTGGGGGTGTTTGCAATTAAGCAGTACTACGGAACGAGATGAGTGTCCGGAGCCCCGGTAGACTGGAACAAATTATAAAAAAAGAGGCTTCAGCCAGGGGTGTTTGAGGAGGAGTAGGAGGCGCTCCAAGTGGTGTCGTAGAAATGGGAGATTGTATGCGTACTCCGTAGAAAGGTTGAAAGGCGAGGCTTCAACTTGCGGCCAAATCCAAGCCCAGAGGCCGATCAAGAGACAGCAATGGAAGCAGCGAGAGAGAAGGGACGGTAAGGTAAGGTAGGCAAGCTAAGACGAGGCAAGGTACAAGGCATAAGGCATAAAATGGCGGGATAAGGATCGAGGTCGAGCGAGAAAGAGAGAGGGCCCTGGGGAACGGGAACAGAGCAGGGACAGAGAAGCGTGAGGTGGGCGGGCGACCATGCCAGAATGTCGGGCTGCTGCTGCTCTCTGCTCCCATCGGCTTCGGGAGAGTGGGTCTACTCGGTTTGTAGGATACGCTATGTAACAATACGACATGTAGAAACATGGATATGCCGGAATGGGGTGGCGGGAAGCTCCAGAAAAATGCGGGACATGCCTTTATCAAGAAGAGCGGGAGGGCTGCGATCAGCACTTTTATGCAACAAGGCAAGCTTCTTCAGCAATATCCACCCAGGGGTCAAGCAGTGTAGCAGAATTGACCAGCACAGCAAAAGCACACCTCATTGCTCAGCGCACGCAGGAGAGTCCGGGCCGGATACCTTACCTCCAAGTCTCTTTCTGCTACCATCCTCTCACTAGGTGCTCCGTGTCGTCCTTTCAATCTTCCTCGCTCGACCACATCCCGAAATTCCGCTGCAATGGCCTCCACGGCAGCAACATGACAAATGTGCGAAAATGATAGCGCCGGAATCGCGTAGAGCTGCCCGTCCTCCGCCTGGGTTTTGCGTTCGCCAATGGCCACCACGTGTCCACCGAACCACCCGGTCGCTTTTACTTGCTCGACCCCATCACACACGTACCGGAGCACGGGGAGGAGAGAGGTGTTAGAGGTCATCTCACTCGCGGCTTCCCCCCCCATTGCTCGTCTGGTGACATGAACCTTGAGAAAGGGTCCAATGAGCTCAATTCAAATCCTTCTATGGCGGGGATCGGGCACTACGGCGAATATCTCCGAGCTTCAAGGTCACGTGGTGCACAGCGACTCTACCTTTCCCCCAATCCCCACCAAAACTTTTTTCGGACCCGACCAGAGATCCAAGCTTGAGTCACGTGAATTAGACGTGAATTGGAAGTGGATCCATTCGTCCAAAGGGTCGGGTGTCCGCCCGCCAGGGGAAGGAAAGAGAAAGAAAAATCTTTGAGGCTGTGTCCCCACTATTTCCTTCGTGAGCCTCATCTATAAAATCTCTTCTCCTGCACGTCAATTCGTAACTTCTCACCAACTCTGGGCAACCAACTTCTTTCTCACGCCACACTCTCGTATCGACAGCCAGGACCGCACTCACGCTGCACTCAGAGATCGCAAGCTTCATTTCAAGCTTTGCAATTGATTGCTTTTTGCGCGCGCGTTTTCTCTGGCTGTCGCTGCGACGGCCTACAGACAGGTAAGCATCATATCTTTTCCTTTCACACGGCTCTCGCATCTCTCTCCGAATGATGACATTCAAGAAACATTGTCTTCTTTTCCCAACCGAATCGACCATGAAGAAACCTAGTCTGTTCGGGTTCCCCTCGAAAGGAACCTGTTACTTGCCAGTATATTCTGTCTGACACATCATCTTCACTCTTCATCAGCACTGGCATCTCTTGCCCTCAAGAGCAAACCTCGCTGACAAGTGTGATAGTAGGGACACGACGCACGCTGCTACACCTCTCCGCTCTCTCATCACTAACCTGTCCAGCATCTCATTCATCACCCTCGAGCCACAAGGTTAGTACTTTATCTTTCTCCTCTACACATCGACGCAACAACTCCACACCACATCATGATGAAATTTCCACTTGTTCGCAGTTTTCACTCGAGTCGCGGCCTGAGCCTTGGCGGGAACGCTTGCAAAAGCGTTTCTTAAGCGACGTATGAGGGCTAACACTTCCTTGGATGTCTGATTTTTTTTTACCACAAAAACATTGTTTTTCTACGAACTTGACCTTTGCTCGACGGCAAGCTAACGGGATTTACAAGAATAGGACGCTTCCATGGTATCTTACGTTGCTCAGATCGCGCGTCCTTCCGGACGCGCTGCAAACAGCTATTAATAAGAATAAAATCTTCGTTCATCTTTGCAAACCATGTCGTTTCTGCCTTGCTCGCTGTGATTCGTGAATATGACGTGTGCCGGGTACTCGCAATGCATCCGGATCTTGTGGTGAAGGGAAAAACGTGATAAAATCCACACGCGATGCCCCAAACTCGCAGTCGTCGCTATGTTCCAATCACGGTCCAACACGGGATTGTAGTGAACGTGTAGGACTGGTGATGTATCTATGACCCCTTGCTGGGTGTTCACGATGAAATATCAAACCAAGTCTGATGGGCATAACATCACCAAGTAAAATTGATCCACCACACACGGAGCCTCCGACCTGAATGTCCAAAAGTAAGGAATAATCACCGACAACTCAAGCCATAAGCGTCTGGCGCCAAGCAAGGTAGGTAGTGGAAAGCACGCAGGCTCCAATAAAAGAGATACCGTCAAAAGAGATGCCAAAATGACATCTTCAGTTGCGACAACATCAATCCCATCACCGAACCAGGCAGGCATGTACAAAGCATCCCAAAATACCACACACACCGTAACTACCAGAATCGACATCATTGGCTCTCTTGAATTGATAACTTTTTGCTTCCCTCTGCCATGCCTCGAACAAACAACAAACGACAAGAGCAACCTCCGCGTCCCTTCCACAAGAGTACTATTCCCAAAATGCAGCCCAACCCCCCTGAAACAAACGCCATCACGGAGGCCGTAGCCATGCACCGCGTTATTCACGTTGCCCAAAAAAGAACGTTCTAAAATCCGACCTGCACCCAAAACTGATCCCAAGAGTAAACGCCTCCCCCCTTTCCAGCAGGTGAACGGTCGGGGGGAAAAAGCACCAAAGCCAAAGCCGTCCCATCACAGCACATCCCCATGAACCGACCGCCCCCTTAGACGACGCGCAACCCTTCCCTAATAGACTCGGGTATCTCCCTTCGTCTGCCGCCCACGATACCTCTCCTGTTCCTGCCCGTCCGACCCCTACCAAGCCAATTCAGCTTGAGCAGCCGGCACAGCTCCTCCATCCTTCTGTTTCCCTCCTCGCTACCGTCGCCCGTCGCGCCCCCGATGCTGGCGAGTATGCTCATGCACTGCAACATGCGTCCCACCATCTCGGTGACCTGCTTAGAGTCCTCGACGTTCTGCTCTCGCGTAAACGGGCGCATCTGGCCGTCGCTCCCGGCGCTGGCGTAGCTGACGTTGCTAATGGCACGGCTGCGTCCGCCGCCTCCCGCGCTTCCGTCGCCCAGGAGCGTCGTCGCGTTCGAGTTATAGCTCGCCACGGACGGATCGAGGCTCATAGCTGTGCCGGGTCGCATCATGCTGATTGCATCCGCGGGGCTTGAAGAAAGGGCCGGATCTGGTAGCGGAGATGCGAGGGCTAAAGATGCGAACGAGGACGGGAGAAATTCGAGAGAAAGCCGAGAGAAGATGGCTTTGAGAGAGTCGTAGCGGGGTAGGATGACAATATCACGGTAGGCCGTAAGTACGATACGACGCACATCTAGCACTGCTGATGCGGGACTAACGTATGGACCGCTATCGGAGGACTGTGACTTGACGCCGCCCCAGAATTGACGGGCTTGGTCCGGGTTCATGAGAACGCCACAGCCAGAGAACTCGAGGTCCAAGGGTAAAAAGACGGCCTGCATGTAAGGCAGAATCGAGGTGTAGGTGATGAGCCACATCTCGACGAGAGCCGGAATGACTTTGTCTTCCTGCGTGCGCCGGAGAGTGTGGTCCAGGGAGGCGAAGCCGGTCGACAAGAGCTCGCGCAAATCCTCGAGAATGATGTTGGGCGACATGCGTTGGATGCAGTATTGAATGTGCAACGTCACCAGCCTATTGAAATCCTCCACCGGCTGTCGCAGATCTTCGCCTTCAAAAATGACGAGCATCTTGGCTTTCAGATACGGCCAGGCATCGTCGAGCGCCATGCTGTTGAGGCCGTATTTGCCTGCGTCAATGGGTTCAGATAGATACGACGACTGATGCGTCAATGTCGGCAGGCTGCTTGGACCTGGCCATTCCGACGGGAGAGAACTGGACTCGACGCCGAGGTTGCTGCTCTCTTTTTCAGTCTTTTTGTCCCTTCGTCCCTTGCCAAACGATGTTGCAGTCGGGGCCGGACTAGGGGGTAAGTTGAAACTGTACAAACTCGAGGGGGCGCTGGGGTCTGTCGGTTTCGAATTGCTCGATGCGGAAGACAGCGGAAGATGGTAGTCATCCTTGAGCTTGTGCTTTTGCCGCGACAAAAAGTGATGCTTCTTTTCCTTTTCCTTGCCTTCCTTCTCCATGGTGGGCGTCTCGGGCACTGCTCTGATGGTCGCGGACGATGCGTTGTTGAGATTATATATAGATTGGCCGCTGGTATCGATGAGACTACTCGTGCTGAAATTCCCGCGTTGTAATGATGCGAGCGCACTGCCGATCTTGCTCGGACTAGGGAGCGGTTTGTCTTTAGGGTCGCCCTTGGTGCCGATCTTGACCGGACGGGAGAAGAGCTTGACCTTTGATTTTTCTGGCTTCACCGGCTTCGGATCTGGAATAAGTTGCGGCGTAGGATTGATAGGACTGTGCTGCTGCTGTTGCTGCTGCTGCTGATGCTGCGACTGGGGCAAGCCAGGCGATGTCTGCCCCGATCGCGGGAACGCTGCGTTGGCTGCTGCGTTTGCTGCGTTGGCTGCCGTGGTCGCGGCGGCGGAATGGCTTCCAAGTAGGCCGTTGTGGTATCCCTGAGTTCCAAAGCCGCTCTCTCGTGGACCGCTTGCCTCGGTCAGGCTTAGCATAGGCGGGCTGAGTGGGCCCTTTCCGCTGCTCCCCCTCCTTGCGCTCTCGGCGTCTCCGTTGGCCGGGTTCGGGACGGTCTGTGATCGCTGTCGAGCGTGCTGGAGCTGTTGGTGCTGCTGGTGCTGCTGAGTGTTCTGATGTTGAAAGGCTGCCTGCGCCGCGATGTGGCTCGCGGAGAGGGCAGGGCTCGGGTGCTGTTGCTGATGCTGATGCTGATGTGTTGAAGATGAGTTGGCAGATGGGTGTGACATGCCCACCTGAGACAGGTTCGAGAGGCTCGTCGAGGGCAGCGTTGAGTCGAACAGGCCGGGCGTCTGGCTGTGCTTCCTCGAGTGTCCCTTGGTCAGAGGGCTCGCGGTGCGGGCAGCAGCAGCAGCGCTCACACTCCCGCTCAGTTCGCTTCCTCCTCCCGAGATAGGGCCTACTGGACCTCCGGGCGTGGTTCCCGACCGGTGAGCAGTCGGGCGCGAGAAGTTCTGCAGGCTGGCGGTGCTCGAGTTGGCCTGGGCGGTAAACTGAGCATAGATCGGGGTACTGGTGGAAGGGGCGGCGGGCGCGCTCGGAGCGTGAGATCGGGGCTTGACGAAGTGAATGGCGAGGTTCTCTTCGCTCGATGACGACTCGGCGCGGGCGGGCGGTCGTGAACGTTGCGGGTGCGGTGCGGTGGAAGCTGTCGAGCCCGGCAGAGGGCTGAAGCTGCCCGGCGCTCGGGGCGGCGGGGGTCGTGCTGGTTGCATTGTCGTGGATGTGTTAGGGTTCTGTTACATCTTGGATTTTCGGACGATTCGAGGATCGGGTGGAGGAGTCTTGAAGGTTTGTTGTGCTTGGATCGGTTTGTAAAAGTGGAATGGTTGGTTTGTCGAGGGCAAGGGCAGTATGGAGAGGTTGTTCGTCCGGTCGGGCGCGATCAAGAGCACCTTGAAAAGGTGAAAAGTTGTGGTGGTTGTGGCGGTGGTGCTCGAGGATTGAGAAACCTGGAAAGCTGAAAGAAAGGGTGGTGGTGATGTAAGAAGGCCGGGGAAATACGAGGTGAGGGAGGGAAAAGGGTGGTAATGAGAAAGCGCGAGGAGTGGATTGCGCCTCACCCTCACTGAGCCGAAGTGTGAGGTAGACAAGGGACACAAAGATCAGCATCAATGCCCTCTGTACTCCGCAAAGTATTGCTGCGATCCAGTAGGCAATCTACCTTGGCAAGTGTCCGTACGATAGGTACTCCCCATTGCATCTCACCTACCTTGCCGGTGCCCTGCACGTAATTATACCTGGTTGTTTATCCGTATCAACGCATCGCTTGCCATCGGTCAGCGACCGCATCTAGGTCACTACCTAATCATCAACCCTGGACTATCGACTTCTCGTTGCTGAGGAAGCGAGCAAAACGGGCGGCCGTCTTCGCTTGCGGTGAGCAAATCCCCCCCCAATTGCAGCGCATCCAGCAACCTAACCCCCGCGGACCAAATCCGGGTCAGCTCCCGTCAGATTTCCCATGTAACAGATGACCATGCTACCTCACCTACCCTGCCCGCCAGAACCAAGGAACGATGCCTACTGCTGTACTCAACAGTCTGGCGCATTGTGCGGCGAGCCAGCCGTGAGGTTCCAGCGTAATTAATTACTGCCCCCGAGTCCTTTTCTTCTGCCCCCACCTAATAGTCCTGCCGTGATCCCATCCCCCTTGTTCCCACCACTGACGCGCCGCGGGTTGCGACCCTGGCATGACTTGGGCGGCGCATCCATGGCTTCCAGTCATCAGGAGGCTTGAGGGGGGCCGGCAGGCGGGCTGACTTAGTGTAATCAACCCCGCAGTTGTTCTAGGTTCCATCTTCAGCGGGACATTGGATTGGGACCAGCTGGAATGGATGGAGGGACGCGAAGAGGGGCAATTGTTCCTTCCAAGCCAACCCCAACGAGCCGCACTCAATTTTCGTCATACCTTTTATTTCACTTATTTTTGCATCGTCTAAATCAACACAACGCAACCACAGCCCACCAAGCCTAATTGCCTTGCCCATCCAACCCACGAGACCACGACATCCCCAACCCAATAGACAATGGCAGACACAAACACCACCGCCGCCGCTCCGGCCCTACACTTCTCAGCAACCTACCAATCCCCCGCAAACGAACCCTTCACCTTCTCCGAATCCCTCCCCGCTCCACCATCCTCCGCGCCCGGCGACAAGTCCGCCTACCTCAACGCCCTGCGCAAGTCCATCAACGCCGCCCAGGAGCACATCAACAAGGAACTCACCGCCCGCATGGAAGAGGACAAGGCCAAGGAGGCCGCAAAGAACGGTGGCACCACCGCAACCAAGTCGGCCGTCGACGAGGCGCTCGAGGAGGAGAATTACGGCGAGGAGGCACCCCCCTCAGACGACTGAAGCGACAAGCAACTCAAAGGGGAGGGGGGCATTGAAAACTTTCTTGACCTTTCACGGCGCCAATCGTACATTCTGTGCCACCTATATACGGGGTATTGCTGTATCATGCTGCCGCTCTCAAAAACCCAAGGCTATGCGAGTACCAATACGTACCAAGAACAAAAAACACAAGCAACGACACCAACACGCCTCAAACTACCGCCCGCCAGCCCGTTTGTTGCAAACCCTCAATCACGAAAACCTTCGAGCCCAGTTTCCTGCCCGAGAGCTTTGCGGTCGCTGCGACGTTGCCTTGTTAAAACACGCATAATGGACCACGTTGTTGTCCGGAAGAACCGACACCACGCTTCGCCCCAGTCTCTTGTGGCAAGCGCCACATAGCCGCTCTTCAGTAATCGTCACCCTTCTGTTGCGCCCGCCCTGTCCGCCGGGGATGCCGTCGCCAAGGAGCAGGAGCGCTTGCGTCGATACCAGTTCCGTGTCTCTCAGCCGAGCTACGATGCGCGACTCGTTCACGACGCTGTTAGCAGACCGAATTCTGCCACGGAAGTATGACTCGAGATCGCGAACAGGAAGGTCGTCGGGAATCAGGGAGAGAGTTGATGCTGCCGGTAGACGCGATCCGTGCCTCGACAATAGCTCGAGAGCCGGGTCATGTGCTGGTTTATGGGGTGACGGTGGGGTCAAATACAGCGAAAGAAGGGTGTGGTAAATGGATGGAGCCGAATCCTCAGGATCATCCGCCGATGACGGGCGTCGTGACTGGTCTGGTGACGAAGGCCTAGAGTCTCTGGACTTATGTACGATATTACAATACCTGAAAAAGCGATTAGCTACAGTCATATCTTACTAAGATTGCGGTACTCACTCTTCGGCTTTGGCGTAATTTTTCATCTTAAAGACGTAGATTTCCAGTGCCTGCTTGTGCGAGCCCATGTTGCTCAGCACTATGGCTTGAGCTTCGTAGAAAGCAGGATCTTCACCGTGTTAGTTGTTACTGCGACAAGCCATCGAGGGACATCAACTTACCGTCGCGAGGGATGAGGCTGAACGCCTTGCTAAGGCTGTACTGGCCGCTTGTCTTGAGGAACTGCACGAAACGATCCATCTCTGCGTCCCATTCATCGTCGCGTTTCTTCTCCTTCAAATGCTTGATAAAGAGCTCGACAAGACGGTTGTGGAAATCCGGAGTTGACTCGTCAAGCTCGGAGATGATGTGCTCCAGGTACTGCACCTCCAATCCTGGATCGATCCCGCCCAGGAAGCGAGCGATCCGGCCACGAGGTAATGTCTCGGCATTCTCAGAGTCTGCGATAAACACTTCCATGGCCAATTTGGGATCCGCTCTCAGAGTCCATTCCGAGTATTGCAAGATGAGATCGATCTCAGACGGCGGCAGTGTCTGAAGATAGATGACTGTCCTTTGAGGCCCATGCAAGCCCGGGGCAGCCTCATCAGGTGTCTCGGCAGTTCCAAAGCGCTTAAGAAGCTCAAGTGCCTGAGAGTGAAGCTTCTTGCCGCTGAAGAAATCAACCAACTCGTTGTATCGGCTGTGTGAAAGCAGTGCTTCGTTGACCACGTCTGGATCGCAAAAGTTCGGGAGGCGGAAAAGGGGCCCAGCTAGAGCAGGCCTGGTCATCATGTAAGTCCGGAACAAAGCGGTGTCTACAATTCGCGACGTTCTCCGGATCTCTCCCTCTAGCTGGCTCCCCGATTCGTCGTCATGCGAGCCAGACATGAAGCTCTTCATGGTCTCTTCGTTGGAGCCATTGGTATCTGTCCGCTTCAGCTTGCCGGTGCTCGGGTCGATGACCCTTTGTAAACGCGTTCTTGTCCCGACAAGATAACCAGCTAAAGATGTGACGGCAGCTAAGAGCTCCTCGCCCTCAAGCGGCAGGTTCTCGGTGGCTTTGCTTCTGATGCTCCCAGTCTCTTCGACATCTATTGTGTCTTTCTTGGATATGATCGAGGCAGCATCTGGCTGCACCGTCTTGCGGGCACCCATGAATAACTTGGCAAAGCCAACGCCTCCTTTTGCTGGGGATGCGGGTGTTTCCGCTGCATCTTCCTTGGGCTTGTCTCCATTTGTTTTCTGCTGCGGTTCCTCCTCACTCTCTTTCTCATCGCTACCAGATTCATCCGGTTGCGCTCCGTGCGCCCAACCAGACATCTCTCCGGCAATGGATGGTGGGAAAAGCTTGAGAACTCGCTCAGGTGGTGCGTGAACATCGTCCTCATTGAAAAGATCCATGGAGTCGTAAAATTTCTTTTGCTTGAAAAGCATCTCAGCCTTGAGCATTTTGACCTCTCGGAGAGTCTCCTTCTTGTTTCGGAGGAGGGCGTCCTCAAGCATGTTAAGGATGCTGACGGCCTCGTCGTATTTGCCCTTTTCGACTAGCTCGTCGATTTGTGAATCGTAGTCGGTAGCCCCCATTTTCCAAACACATCGGTCGCTGGAGATATGGAACCCCTTACCCGCGTGAGCGAGACTGACATTAGGTGGCGGAAAGTGAAGTTGCGCCGCCCCTGGAAGGGGTATGGTCTGCAACAGGTGCAACGTCTCTGGATTCCTGACTTCAAGCGAGCCTTTTGACGGAGCTTGCAAAGCCAGGATGTATGGGTATGAGTAACCGATCTGCTCAGGAGCAGCTTGCCAAGGAATCTGTCGTTTTTCAACCGGCTTTCCTTCGTCCGTAATGAACATGGAGTTGATGTCTTTGGCCAACAGCAGCTCGCCTTCGGCAAGCTTCGCAGCAAGCGGCTTGGGCATGTATCCTCCGAGGCCCATATAGCCCATTCCAGCGCTGCTCACCGCTCCGAAACGACTAGCCTGCCCGCCTGATGCCGCAGAGCCTGGGCTGTTGATATCCTCGACCTCATGGGTGACTACGTCGACCAAAACGTATCCCGCGTTCATTCCGCATACGATCTTTGTCGCGCTGGCCCATGTGACGGTTCGTATCGATTCCGGTAATGTCACTTCCCCAACGTCGGCGCTCAGCTCGCTTTCATGCCAACTCCATAGTAGCAATCGACGACGGACAGCCACCGCCAGGCGACTTATAATCTCTGGTATTCCGGTTGCTGCATCTTTCACGATGTTTGATGTGACGGCAAAGCAGGTGGCGTTCTTCGTTCGCGATAGAGTCTCTAGGGGCTCATAGGTTCCGAGGTCGTGGAGGGATACGTAGTAGTTCGACAACGAGACAAGAGTGTTGGCTTCTTTGATTACGGCGAGCTGCTCAATCGCCCTGTTCGAGAACTTTTCTACCTCGCGCAATAGGTCTGTAGGTTTCTTCGGCTGTTCTGTCGTCGTGTTGGTCTCGGTTGCGTCTTGCGAACCCGCCGTGGTAGGTTGAGAGGAGCCATTGGCCTGGGTCGGCGACGGAGGCGGTAGCTCGTTGAGACGGTAGATGCGAAGAGCTCCGCTGTTGAGGCCTACGAAAACACGATCGCCTACGTCAATTTATTAGATGAAGATGTCACAGTGAGATTATGCGACTCGAGAGGAGCGCACCATGCGCGAGGATTGTCTCAATTTTGGACTTATCCCGTTGCTTAAGCTCTATGATCGGCCGAGCTGTGAATGCCGAAAGCATGGCGACTGCCAGCTCACCGAGCGGATATGTTGTGTGTTTACTATATCCTCATTAGAAGGGTGGTTTGTAGAGGGAGCGCCAAGTCTGTCACAATAGAGCCTCAAGATGCGATCATGACGGCGCGCGTGTGTGTGAGTGAGAGATTGTTGAGCTCCAGGTATCGGTTCGGGTATGGCTGGGCGAAAGTGCGCCGTCTGGCGGTACGTCAGGGCGAAGACTCCACAAGGGAGCCGATGACCTCTTTCTCTGCCCAATCCGGACTAGTGTCACTGCCACCCTTCCACCTGGAGCAACCTGTCTCCACCTCCTTCAACCTCTGCTGTTTACAGCATCTGATTGGTTGGCGGACTTGCCGGGGTTCGTAGAGCATATTGGCGTCACATGCATAGAAGCTTACTTTTAACATCATTTCACCTTCTCTACGTCAGAATATCACGCCTTTCCTCTTGAATATCAATAGGTATCAGCTGAAGTTCAGGTATTTAGCAGAAATCTGCAAAGTTATCCGGATCCTTGCCTGAGTAAACGCTTCGCAGTACCATTCTATCGCTTACTCCAGTCTACCTTACATACAAAATAAGAGCAATAAAAGCTATCAAACAGAAACCAGGGAAAAGCCAAGTACAATATGTAAACCGGTGTCTATGTTCCGACCGCAGGCTTTCCTTTGGAGACCCTTTGGATTTACGCCCTTTTTCAAACAAATCGAAGGAAACGCAGCCCAGCATTCTCTTCTTTCAGACATACGATACAGAAATCAATGACCAAATGCATGTACGTAACGGTCACGTAAAGACAAGACCTTAGTCCAGCCCAGCAACCCTCATCAGGCCATATCCCAATGACACCACGACGACCAATGTGAGAACACTGCTGGGCACACCTCTGCTGATGAAATGTTTCACTTGGAGGTATCTCTGACCAGTCGGGTCTTCCTTCATAATGGCAGCTGGATCGTTGGTCAGTAATCTGCCGATATTGGGAACGTTGAAGAAACTTACTCATGTTGGGGAAACCACTTGTTGGCAAACCCATAGCGGCACTGCACATCAAAACACCACCCATGACCAACAGATTCGGGTGGGGTTCGTCCATGTTGGAGCCAACGTCAAACACCAACGGCAGGATGATCAAAGCTGCGACTGTATGGCTGATGAATGTGGCGATGACGAGGATAAGGGCTGAGAAGACGACAAGGACGACGTAGAGACTCATGCCCTCGACCTCCTTGGTAACGACGCCAGCAACCGTGTGCAGAAGACCAGATGACTTGACGGCTTTGCCCAGAGACAAACCTCCGGCAGCCAGGATGATGATGGTCCACGGGAAATTGTTGAAGTCCTCCTTGGTCAAGATACCAATACCAAAGAAGAGGACGATGGGGATGATGGCAATGACACC